AAAGTGGACTTGGTACAGCCACTTCTTGGTAGAGCCAAAAATTATCGATCTATCTTTCTATCTTTTCTTTTCGAGTGTTTTATTTAATTATTTTATTTTAGAGACACAAACAATAAGATAAACTCATGGGATATGAATAAACAAAATTTCATATAGGTATCAGCTAAGTTTCCATTGGTAATATGTTATGACAATTCCCCTCCCGCGAAGATTATATTTTTGCATACGTCACAATATCATCACAGCTTGCGGCTATGCCAGGTCGACGAATATTATGTGGAGGTATTGAGAAGTCTTAATAACGAAGCCACTATATCAGTCCATATTTAGGGTGATCAAACAAGACCAATCCATAATGAGGTCTAAGACTTTCGCGAGTATTTAAATGAAACTAATATCTTTGGATTACTCCCGTACTTAAAACAACACACTGTCGTCGTTTTGGTTAGTTTGCAGCAGCCGTGATCACGGACAGACGAGATGTTTAAGTCTGTCAGTTGGTCCATCAAGATGTTATTACATTGACAAGAATAGTCAATAGTGGGACCCCCCGGTCAAAATGAAGCCATAAGCTACGAAAAATTGCTGGCAGAACCTGGATGATTATGAAGCATTAATGGCGCGTAATGAGAGAGGCCTATGTCCAGTAGTGGACTACCTTATTATGTGTTTTCATTTATACATTAAACAAGAGGTGATAGAGCCTAGCTGTGGTCAAGTTACTACAGCTCGAACATGGGCTGTCTCGACCGGGAAAGTACCACCCTCTCATAGAAGATCGGCTTGAAGTAGTCAGTAATGACTGCGTTTCGTTGGGAAATCGTCACAGACAGACAGACAGACAAGAGTCTTCTGTTTTAAATAAATCTACCAAAATCATACTATCTTTTATTAAGTTTTTACGTTTGATAGCATCGATGTATCCTTTGAAAGTCACTAGCCCTTGATCAATATTTCCAGAGGTACCAGGTTATCCAGATTTCTATTTGGTATACATTTTGTAACCATTGCCTTCTAGTATTGATTTAAATCATAGTCATATTATTTTAACATACAAAATCTATATTTTTAAAGGACTCGTTTCCAGGTAGAGATTTATAACATTAAGAAGACAGTTAACGATTAAACAGTTAACATAATAGTTTAGTTAGAACTGAAAATAATAGTTTCATTGAAATTATTCTATGTTGAAACTTAACAGTAACAAAAAGATCCATATTTTTTTATATAATTTAACTTTCTTTCTACTATAAAGCAACCATTCAATATAATCCCAATTCCCATATATATAACTTATAATTGAAATAATTTCAAATCTCATTTTATTTCTATTTTATAGTATAACGAAGTTATTTCATCATTCCAACCGAGCCAGTGTTAACTGCGGAGTACAAAGTAAATATCATTTAGTGTGTAGCGCCCTTCAAACAAACCGAACCGCCCCTGTAACTTGATACACCCGTCACCAAGGATACCCGCTCGATGTGGCTTTACTTGAAAATTATATTAAATATACTATACTAGTATATAACGCGGGTTCGCTCGCTTAAAATATACTAGTAGGTCGCGACATCTATGTTCTTAAGCACACTGAATATTTGGATGAATTATATCCTATGTGTTAGTATATTAGAAGATCTATATTATAGTAGAATTTCATTTAAATATATTCAGTAGTTTTTCCGTAACAAAGTAACAGAGTAACAAACATACATACTACAAAATTTATTATATTAGTATGAATAATAATTTCTGATTCCTGACGTTTCGCTAGTTTAGAATGTTATGGCTCATTATATAATATGAATCTAAATTAATTTATTTTTTCTTTAAAACGAGCTACGTAATATGAAAATTTCATTAAAATCGTTACTATGTAGGACTTATAAGACATTTAATATCCTCACGAAGTGAAAAGATATTACATGTTTAATTCTTGCATGACAGAATAAAAACTATTTTATATTATACATTACGCTCTATCTATATATTTATATCTTACATATGTATAATCCTGCAACAGCTGACATTTATACATAATGAATATATACTCTCATGGTTATAATATTTTCTATGGTATATTTTTCTGTATAAAAGATAAATATATCTTATCCTATACAAATAAATAAACTTGACGCATATGTTTCAAATGAAGCAATTTTTTTCAGTCTGTCTGTTTGTAAAATCTTTTCTCTAGAATGTCGGTACTGAATTTGATAAGAATTTCACTTGGAAGTAGGTAATGTCATGAAAGTGACTTGGTAACTTTTTGGAGGATTTCAAAATTGTGGAACCTCTCAATTCAACCGTACGTTTGTTACGATGTTACGCGTTCAATTAAATTATTATTTCAAAATTATTATTTTAGTTGAAAGGTCATTGTCCTGAGGTAATATTGCTGTAACTAAGTCAGGCTTTTCAAGAAATTTAATGAATTTATATTTAGAGGAACGATAGAGTTTAATAATGTTTAATATGCAAGCAAACCAAAATTCAACGTCTAGTCTAACAAATCAAACAATAATTTTTAGAAATCCCATATATAATCGGTGTTAAAATTACTTACATTTTTAATGTTTTTTCCAATTCCATGATCTTTTTATGTCAAATATTTTTCACAATTTACGTAATTTTTAAATAGCGAAATTCTATTTGAACATCCTCATTATTCTATAGCTATATATTAATTATACAAGTTAGAGTCAGCTCTACTTCAGTCACCTGTACCCCCCTGTATGTATCTATTACTAATTCGTGGCCAAAATAACGAGCTAAGGGTCCATAATGACCCCCTATAGTGTTACTATAATGTGCTTTAAGAATGGTTTACAGATAATGGTATTGTACGTGCACTTACTGTTTAATAACAGGGGCTTGGCTTGAAATTAACGTGGAGAAAATTAATTTAAATATATATAAGGGGGGCAATGATTTATATAAATAGATTGAGTTAGAAAAATTTTGGTGTATTAGGTATTAAAATAAGATTCAGAAGTATATAATATACTAACAAAAAGAGTTTATAAATAAAATTTTATAAAACAATCATATATTTGTTTTTTTTTTTTTCTAAATAGACATGAATTCTACAATAATTTGATATTATTGTTATGAAATCTCTAATTGAATTAATAAAAGAGCATTAAGTAAAAAAAATGTTATAAATTATTTACATCAAAATTAATTGTTTATTATATGTAATATATGTACATCCGTCGTGTATACTATTCACATATTTAAAAAATCTATTAAACTGTATATTTTACTATCAGTGTTTAAAAAAAACAGAAAAGATAATAATTGTTCATCTGTCAGAAGTGATTCCATATTAGTCATCACCATTTTCATCACCCCTTAATATTGACTGACAGTTATTATAATTATATTCATCATATTTATGGCCTCACTACGAGGGTAAGTTATATTTATACATTGAAATAAAAAGCAATGTAATAATAATAATTATATGATTGTGTTTTATATTGAAAGAATTTCATTTTCGTGATTGTCACTGTAAATCGATAAGAAATATATTAATGGTAGAATAAGGTAATCTGCAAAAAAAAAAATATGTGCAAATGCTTTTCTGTTTATGTCTTGAAAACGATTATTCACCTCTACCTTTTTCAAGATAGTAGACTTTTTTTCATGTAGTTTTGATAAATTTCGACAGTTAAAGAATTATGTACGAAATAAAATAAGATTTAATATCCTTTAATTATATTTATATGAAAAATCTTCCTCATAGACTTAATATTAAATATGTTTACATGTTGTTATACAAGACTACTAAGAAATTAGTCTTATTTTTGTAACTCCAAAACTAATGAGAAGCGGAAGAAGGATTAGGTTCATCCATTTAACTGATGACAAGGATTTAAAATTCAGCACGTTCAATAATATTATTACAATGAACACCAAAAACGTCGACTTCGCAAAAAAATTAACCGACTGGCATCTGCGTTGTTTATTTAGACGATGTTTGCTGCCACCCAATAGTGTTCTGAGAAATATTTACACATACACACACACATATATGTATAATGTATCATCATCATCAGCCTATCAGAGCCCACTGCTGAGCCTCTTCTCACATGGAGAAGGTTTGAGCATTAATCACCACGCTTGTAAGACGGGTTGGTGATTTCAAACTTATAATTGGATATTATAAGTCCAGGTTTCCTCACGATGTTTTCCTTCATCTGTCAGTGGTGTCTAAATACTTTTAGAAAGTATATATGTATATATAATTTTAGTCCTATTAAAATTAATTTTGATTATAAACATGTATTTTTACATGAGAGTCCCTACCATGAGTTTACACTGTTAACTGTACACGGAAAGTTACCAGTTTATCACTAATAGATTATAGGTGACTTCAAGCTATCTGTTATTGACATGCTTACTATAAGTTCAATCGACACACTACATACGGAAAGTAAATAGTTTTTCATTCACAAATCTTCACATATTATAGTATTAACGTAGATTCATGAGTGAGATACGGGAAAACGTTGCGTATGTAGTGACGACGCGAAACTTGTGGTAAGAATAATAATTGCGTCATCATTTTCTAATAGTTAATTTCTAAACTATAGGCATAGGTATGCGAAATAACAATAACTTTATATTAATCCGATAAATTTAGTTGCAAGATATAACGTAATGAAATACAAGATTTTTCCTCCTCATTTACTTATTTGAAAATAAGTTTTTCGGATTCTACGCGGTTTTTTTATTGTTTTATATTTATAACGTTTCAATTCATTTACAGCAACCGTGATCATTAAGACGAGATGAAAGATCACTTAATCTCTTAGTAATATTTGAAAAACTAAGTTTCATTTAAATACAACACAGTGCAATCAATAATGTTTTTAATATGCCATTAATTAAACTTAGACATTAAAAGCTTGCCAGGATCGAAACCTCTCATGCATGAGATGTTCTTTTAACTTCTATGTCCCTACGACAACTTATTATGATCATTGTATTTCCAGGTACTTCAGCAGGCTGGTAATATTGAACGTCTGGGCAGGTTTTTATGGTCATTACCGGCTTGTGAGCGTCTGCATGCCCACGAATCAGTTCTTAAAGCCAAAGCCATGGTCGCCTTTCACCGCGGGAACTTTAAAGAGCTGTACAGACTTCTGGAATCACACAACTTCAGTGCACACAACCACGCTAAGCTTCAGAATCTATGGTTGAAAGGTTTGTTAAGATTTTCATACATGTATGTATATTAACTAGAACAGTAGTTCCCAACCTTTTTTGGACTAGGGACCACTTTGTATTCTTTGTTGGTCGCATGGGATCACGATGTATAAGAAAAATAAAGCGAATGACTAAAATAAATTTTAATAAAAAACTCAACTTATTTTGTATCAGCAAAAATATGTTATTAAAACATTAATAAATTAAAGAGTTTTGAATTTATTCGCGGACTATATATTGAATCAAGCGGACCACCGGTTGAGAACCACTGAACTATTAGAAAAAATATTGTTTATAAATGTCCCCTTATCTGAGATCTATTACAAAATGTAGGACTAATAATAAATGTCGATTTAAATTGTGGGCTAAGTATTCAGTGTTAATAATTTTCAGCTTAAACTATGTTTAATCTATAATACTAGTTGTTGACAAGAGCTTTGCTCGCATACCACGAGACAGAATCGGTCTGTTTTACCAGATTTCTGAATATCTCAATATATAATAAATTCCTATGCATTATCATGTAAAGGAAATACGAATAACAAGACCAACTGACAGACATTCATGTGTCTTAGTGATCACAGTTGCTGAAAAGTAACCGAAACGTAAACAATATGTAGTTAAAATAATAAAATACATATAGTAATACAAAAATATTAGTTTCATTTAAATTAATAAGTACTCTCGATAATCTTAGATCTCATTATGAACTACGAAAAAGTCTATACAAACAGATATATTCTGTTGACCAAGATATGTATTCTTCTTCTTCCTGCCAATCTCCCACCTTTACCCAGGGTCTGCCTTACATGGTTTAAATAGTTTTGGCTTATTGTTTTTACGATCCGCCTGCCTGACATCAACCCTCTTTGGGAATGCATTAATCAGTGATGTCTAAATACTCTTAATGTACATATGACTCGGAAAAATCACATTGGTACTTGCCAGGATCGAACCTGCGCCCTCATGTATGAGAGGCGGTACTTTTAACTATTAGGTCACCACTGACTGACCAAGATGTGTATTATGTGATCTCACAGCACATTATATGGAGGCGGAACGTCTTCGAGGTCGACCTTTGGGAGCTGTGGGGAAGTACAGAGTCAGGCGCAAGTTCCCACTACCAAGAACTATATGGGACGGAGAGGAAACTTCATACTGTTTTAAGGTATGTATGTAGATGCACATTTGACTACCGTACATACTAAGTAATATTATCTATACCAGTTTTTTTCAATCGTTTTGATTTACGGTTTGAAAAATTTTGGCGACCATGAGCTATATACAGGCAAGGAAATTTGTAAATTAAAAGTCTAAAGACATTATCTGCAATGGTAGGCATCCAAACAAAAAGAGTAATAAACTTCAAGTGCTAGTTGATTTGATAGAAAATACTACAAAAATAGTACTACGATTTTGAAATTTTTTTGAAAAATAAACAAGCCTATCCTTCTCATAAAGATTTGGTTTTTATTGTAGTGTAGAAGTTTATCTTTTTTCTTTTTGTCGACCACTTCCCGAGGAAGTCTTCTTGAGAAATACTGATCTATATATACATTAATTATTATATTAAACCTTATATAAACATATATATTGTAATTTACATACTGATTTTATTCCAAAATTAATGTATATGTTTATAGAAATGTAACAAATTTTATATATTTTATTGGTCATAGAAAAAGTAATATCTTTACATCCTTTTGGGTACATTTCTTTCCACTAAATGTTTCGTGTGTTCATTAGGAGAAGTCTCGTTCAGTGTTAAGAGATTGGTATCTTCACAATCCTTACCCTTCGCCTCGTGAGAAAAGGGAATTGGCTGAAACAACGGGACTCACCACTGTACAGGTAGGATATGATGTATGAAGCGTATTTATACATATTTCCAGGATTTCTGGACATCAGCTTCCTGTATACAAAATCTTATCAAAATCGATTCAGCCGTCTGAGCGTGAAGAAGTAACAAACATACACACACTCACAAACTTTCGCAATTATAATATTAGTAGGATTATAGAAGAAACTTAATTAAATTTTAAATATAGTCCAACTTATATATAATTTGAGCTAGTAAATTATGTCTGTAACACATTGAGTTAGTATAGACTATTTGAAATACTACTTGAAGTTTGTTCCCCTGGTACTTTGAACAGAGTATTGATAATGCAAAAACTTATTCCTCTCAATTTTAATTTTTTTTTAAAGAATTTAAGTATTTGACATACACAACAGAATACTAGATTCGAAGTAATTTTTTTTGTAATATACAAAAAAAAAATATCGTTTAATAGACGTTAAAAGCTGAATGTAGTAATCATTACTGAATACCCTTACGATAGTTATAATTTGTTTCAATTACTCTGGTAGTTTTTCCTTCGTACATTGATTATGGACTATAGTTTAAAACGCTACATTATATTATACATATCTAAGACTACCTGAACATGTTCCATCTAGTAAAAAATCTCGCCAAGAGCTAACTATATAGGAGTCTGAAAGTTCTTCAATGTGTCCTAAAACCCCAAAAAAATTCATGCCGTACCAAATAAATCAATGTATTTTTCACACTATTCGTCAAAAATCGATATTTTGAGGCCCATATGACATTTATATAGTACATTTTTCTAGATTCAATCCTTAAACTTTTTGGATAATTTAAAGAAATATTTTGTCATAAAATAAAAGAAAGTATTATTTACTTATTAGTAAAGGCACCGATCAAACAGTTATTTTTAAAGCAATGTTGATTTAGTCTACTAAGAAAACACTGTACTTTGTGTACCCAATCTTTTGTCTCAATAGAAAGTCCTTTCAATAAGTATAACTTATATTCTATGAACATATTGAATTTTATCCAAAATTATAGCTAAAGTTAACCTTAGAACATTTTTTTGACTTTCCTGGAATTAGAATAAATTACAAAAATAGTTATATTTTGTTGCGTAAGCATATTTTTTTTAGTCCTGAATTAACGTCTCTCTACTTTTGGTTAACACTAATTGTATGTGCCAAACGAAAATAATTATGAAATTATTAGTTTACCAGTTTCTTTTTAACCATACAAGTATTGTACCTAAATAAATTACTACCTTCATTGGCCATATCTTTTCATACATTTTGATTTTCAAAGAATTCAACTATCACCAGTCGGTTTTATGTATCAATTATAATATCATACATATGTACATAAAATAGTTTTTAAAAGACGTATTTTTGATTTCCTTTCAGGTGTCAAATTGGTTTAAAAATCGCAGACAACGCGACAGACAGGCCGAGCACAAAGATAGGTGAGTTATACATATAAAACACAATAGTAGTCTAATAGTTTTTGAATCTATCCATTACAAACGTACATACAAAATTTTTCTCTTTACAATATTAGTATAGACTAGTAATTGCCCGTAACATTGTCCGCGTGACTTAGAATTTGTTTTCTATGTATCATGAGCATGTACATAGATATGTTAATAAATAATAATTAATCAGTGACATCAAATTTATTACTTAATTATAATTATTCAATTATATCCTTTATATTAATTCGAAACGAGAGCTATATTACTTCAATGTTTCATCAAAATACATTTAGTAGTTTTTGAGTAAAGGAGAAACAAATATACACACATACATATTGATATTGATAGAAAAGTTAGCGTATATTATAAATATTTAATATTTCTAGAAAGTTTTAAGTCAATTAAGAATTATAATAAGTTCAAGCTTAGATCATAGCTTAATATAGAAAACTTGTAAAAAAAATAACTTGTCTATAAAGCTACGAACTACTTTCAAATTAAACTACATACATTTAACTTTAATATAATAAAACAATGAAATTATCTAATATGGGTTATTACCCTCGGTCGCTGAAATTCATAAATGATTTAAAATGACCGAATTGGAAACAAACAAAAAAACAAAAATTCTTGTTCCCTATTAAAAAAAATTGTTCAATTTCTTTAACCGTTTACTTTAAAATTAAACCTACTTAGAATAAGGAGGTTTTCGCTTACATCGTGTTAGCCTGAGTAACATATAAACATTTATATATATATATATATATATATGTATAATAACAAATAATTTATATGTTATTATTTAAATTACACTGACTTCCTACAAGTCCGTATTTCTATTGTTGGAGCGAGAGCGCGTCATGTGTTAGACAGAGACGGAGATATGTAACATGACACCGGGACATCTGCCCGGCGGGCACAGGGACGAACTCAAACACACACATATATATATATTTTACTAGCTTTTGCCGCGACTCCGTCCGCGTGGAGTAGTGACTGCCGGCAGATTTTTGGTTCTTCCCACATAGTTCCCGTTCTTGCGGGGTTTTCGGAATGGTCGAGTTCCCGTAGAATTTTCAGGATGAAACCTATGTTTTTTTAATTCACAATGAAGTATATACTCTTAACCAACAACATATTTATTTGTTTATTTGAATAAAGATTTTATAAAATTATTAGGTACCATTAGGACCAAATTAGGTACCATAAAAACGGTTTTTGTGACTTAATCTTAAAAGATAGACATATACTATCGCGGACTGTTTTTTAAATCATTAAAAGATAGATCATTAAAAGATATGTAAGTCTATGAAAATTGGTTATATAAGAAAAATCCTTTCTAATAAAAACAAGTAGTCTTATAAACTCTAGAGTTTAGAGTAATCTTTAAAAGCGGTTACTCTAAGGACTGTGTCACTTACCTTATACTTAAAAGTCTAAAACCTTCCAGTATAATTTCCTTTCTAATATAATTTCATCAGTATTGTTATCTAACAGACTGTAAACTAGTATAGTGTCGGGTGTCTCAAGATGGCGCCGGTATTGTTAAAAATCTTATAATTCCTAAATGTTTTCGCTCGATCAAGCGGAAGTCAACGGCTGAATGAACGCGTTAGAAGGAATGAAGAAAAAATAGAAAAAAATATAGGACCGAGGATCGAGTTACGAGATCGATGAACGACAGACAGACAAATATATATATATATATTATATATTAGTATATCACTATATAACTATTAAAAAATATTTATTTCTGAGAAACATATAGGTTAATATGTAATTCTATATTATAAGAGATCAATTGTAAATTTAACAAATAATAATCTTTTACTTATATAATATGCCTATAGACTAACTCTTTTACATGGAAAAACACAATGCATTAAAAAAAATTATGAAACGTATGAAATGTGCGTGAAAAGTTTTATTTTTTAATTCGGAGAGTTAAAATGGTAATAAATTTCTACAAGTAAATTTAATACCTTCAAAAACAAATTAAAAAACGTAGATTGAAAATTAAAAATACAGTTTACATATATAACATAATATATAACAGTCCGCGACATTATATGTCTATCTTTTAAGATTAACTCACAAAAACCGTTTTTATGGTACCTAATTTGATCGAAATAATATGTTTAAGTTGTATCAACATAATATTATTAATCTTTATTCAAATAAACAAATAAATATGTTTTTGGTTAAGAGTACTTCATTGTGAATTTAAAAAAACATAGGTTTTATCCTGAAAATTCTACGGGAACTCGACCATTCCGTAAACCCCGCAAGAACGGGAACTATGTGGGAAGAACCAAAAATCTGCCGGAAGTCACTATTCCACGCGGACGGAGTCGCGGCACAAGCTAGTATATTTATAATCTGAATACGGCCCTGTCCTCTCTATGAATTCGTCACTCAACTATTTTAATCTCACAGTTAAATTTATAACTCGCTAATGACTGGTTATGTTGTATGTACATTAACTGATTAACTGACAGACGTACTAAATGATTCGGTATATATATTATGATATTACTTAAAATATCACACTTACAGTAAATTAATAAGAAATTTACATTTATTTTATATTAATAATAATAAAAAGGCTCATAAAAGGCTGTAAACAAACATCCAAACCCATTTGGTCTATGGAACAACAAAAAACAAAAGTAAAACAAAATGGCGTCGGTGTCGAGTTACGTGGGGGCTGGCGGCGTTCAGGCTTGATTGAACTACCCTGGATACGTGAAACGAGATACGGCTTCTAGGATCCGGTTACAGATATATATTATATTGAAAATATTATTAAACTCTAATAAATATACTTTCCATTGTACCTATACATCTAGACTACAACATATGTTAAACTTTCGCGCGTAAAGTTAGTTAAACAAAGTTCGGATTGACTCAACTTCTATATATGACAATATCATCGCGACCTACGCGAAGTTAACTATAAAATACAGTTATATATATTTATATAGTGTTTAATATGAATATAATGTTTATTTCCAGCGGCGGTCCGGGAGACAAGCAACTGGATTCATCCACAGACGACGACAGCGACGCCCCGCACCCCGCGCCGCACGCGCCCCCCCTCTACCCGCTGTACGAACATCCGCTAGCTCACCTACAGTACCATCACTCGTGACGCGCAGCCACCGACTGACGCGATACAATATTTATTTAGACATCTAGTGTTCCAAATATGAATAATATAGACTTAAATTTGAATTTGGAATGTATAAACCATCACTTTGTAAATGAATTAAATTTGATTTTGGAACGTCTTGTGTTTCTGATTATGAGCTCCTACACTCGTGATATACATTTAAGTTTGAATTTGGAATGTATAAACCATCAGCTCCATGTGACGTAGTAAATGAATTAAATTTGATTTTGGAACGTCTTGTGTTTCTGATTATGAGCTCCTACACTCGTGATATACATTTAAGTTTGAATTTGGAATGTATAAACCATCAGCTCCATGTGACGTAGTAAATGAATTAAATTTGATTTTGGAACGTCTTGTGTTTCTAATGCGAGCTCCTTCACTCAAGATAGTATATGTAGCGCCCGTCGCGTTCCAAATTTAAAATTCGCTTCCAATAGATATTTAAATATCAGCAATAATGGATATCGGCTGAATAGAATTGTATCACATACATAGTTAGGTTTAGAAAATAAAATAAATGTCAGATATGTTTTGAAATCAAAATTATTACTTTTTTAATAACAATATTTAATTAAAGACATTTGAAATAATGTCCAAGATTGAATTGTCATTATTTATACTCTGTGAACATCACATATTCTTTTACATTAAATATCTGTAAATATACGTAATTATATCATAAGTATTTGTTTTGCAAATTATTTCAAAGCAATAATAATAATACATGAACTTGTAATTGTTAAAAATAATGAAAAATTCGTTTTTTTCATTTCATCAAAGCTGAAGATTTTAAGTATACTGCCATATGACATTTAACAGCTTAATATGATATTAATTGATTTCTCCAAGTGATTTAAGAAAATACTTTTCATTAATTTGTAGCCAATTATAAAATAAATGTAAATAATATTATTGTAACAAATGTATGTAGTTATTTAATTTTATATGTAGATTGTTTTTATACTTAGTCATAAATATAATTAAGTCATAACACATAATATAAATACTTTTTGAATTTAATGTTACGTCAGAATGTTTTTTTTTAATATCCACCACACGACCCACACCATACAGCCAGACAAATTAATATTATATAATAATAATAAAGTAATTATTTGTATCCTGTAACATTATTGAATGTATATTTATTATGTTAGAATCGTTTTAAGTATTTTAAAACAGACGTGTGTTGTTTCAAAATGTTGTTTTATTGAACTATCCTCAAATAAATTTAGTATAAATTAATATTAAATATTTATTAAAATAATAAAGAGAAGTAATTGATTAATTTTAGTTGGATATATCGTGGAATTTTAATTGCTATATTCAAATATGTAGTTGTAGATGTGATAGTCTTCATAATTAATTCAACAAAATCCAGTCTCATTTATTAATTTTGATACTTGGTAGTATCAATCTAAGTATATAAATGGTGAACTGCAAACTGTGCGTGTTTAGTTTGTGAATACGATTCCGAGTAAGGACTAAGGATACAGCGCTATGATGAACTTTAAATACCTACTTGTCTACTGAAGTAAAATACATAATAATCAGTCTCTGGAAATTGTTTTTTCATATTAGGTAAATCAGTAAATTAAGATTTTGAGCGATAGACGAAACCTCTCATCATTCCATGTATCCAGTGGTGGCGTAAGGCGTGGGCGACGTGGGCCATCGCCTACGGCCTCGCGGTACAAAGGGGCCTCGCGCCCCAAAAATTTTTAAAGCGAGAATTTAAAAAAATATATCTTCTTCCTGGCAATTTCCCAGCTATAACCAGGGTCTGCCTTACATGTTATGAATAGTTTTGGCTATTTGTTTTTACGACCGGTTGCCTGCCTGACATCAACCCTTTTTGGGAATCAGAATTAATTAAACCTATTTTAATAAGAATAGTGTGTTCAATGTTTTAATAATATTTAGCGAATAAATAGATAGAGTTTAAGTATATTGATTGCCCCACAAACAGTGACATTTTTTAATTGTTTTTGTTTTCTTTCTGATTTGTAATTACATCGGTACCTGTACTCGTCTATTTTACATAAAGTAACAAATATTTAATTGGTAATAAGTATGTAACGCAGTAATTACTTGTATATAAAATACGCTTTATAATGTCTTTTGAACGAAACCAAAGCTTTAAGGGTAAAAAACGTATCAACGTTTAAGTTTTTAAAACTAGCAGGTAGTAAGAGCTTCAAGTTGCCATAGAATAGGGCCACGCGAAATCTGTCTTGCCCACATATTTAGGTCTTACCCCGCCACTGTATGTATCCACCGTGCGTGTGTCGGGTCCGTCGTTGTAGTGAGAGGAGCTTTATTTATTTGGTTTTCCAACAATGTGTAGTCTAAATAAATACAATTTTCAATGAATAAATCTTAAAACTAAGTGTCACAATTATTTACAGGAGAACACATCATGCACGAATTATTTAGTGGAACAACATTTTATTATTTATGATATAGGTACATATATTATACGAAATATATGGTATGGAAGCAAAATCAAAGTGAAATAAGCAAACAAAAAACAAAAAAAGAGTCTAAATAAAATTAATTGGTTATTTCTATTTAAGTACTAAGTACCTATATTTTTTACTGATTTTATGGATGTAGTAGTTAAATCAATACTATCCTGGTACTCAGAAAATACATTATACATTCTTGATAGAGGACTGTACAATTATAGGTTAGTATAATGTCTAAGCCTGACAGAACAGGTGTAGATTACATGACCTTGGCAGTCTGGATGGAATACGCAAATTATTTTATTAATAGATTGGGATCATTTAAAGATCCCGTAACAATTTTGGTAAGAAATATTAAAGCCAAAAATTTTCTGCGATTAGACAATGTCGCAAAATTGAATAACTAAGACGATCCTGCCAGGAATTAAGTTTTCTTTTTAAATTACAACTATAAGTTAAATGCCTCATAAGTTTCTTTTTAATTTTTTCAATTCTTTCAACGTAGTATTTATAATGAGGAGACCACACTACAGATCCATGTTATAGGTGACTCCGTACCAAAGAATTATACATAATTATTTTAGTAAATGGTGCCTTAAAATTTCTACCTTCTCTTATTAAAAATCCTAAATTTTTAGTGGCTTTTAAAATTATTGTATTTATGTGTTTATCAAATTTAAGTTTTTAATCAAAGAAAATGAAAAGGTCACGTATAGAATCTACTTCTTCAAGGAAATTTCCATTTAAGTGATATCCAGTTAAAATCTTATTTTTATTTCTCGTGAATTTAATATGTTTACACTTATTCACGTTTAGAGACATTTTATTTTTTTGTACACCATTCGGACAATCTATTTAAGCTTCAACAGTGACTGGGACTTGTGACCCAGGTGTAGGTTTAAGGTTTAGGTTTAAGGTATATCTAACGTTTAACGATCACCTCCACCGTACAAGCTCCTCACTCTTTCTAATTAGAAAAGAACAAATATAACAAAATCATAATTGAAAGTTCGTTAAATATGTTTTAAATACATTTTTGATATAGATAAGATATAATGTGTTACAGTATGTGAGTTATATCAGAATGCTGACACATTGTTTAGTTTTAGGTCACACACGTTCGTCATAAGCACTAACACGACAAAATTACAACATTGGCAAAATCGACGGCGTACAGTCGTGACATAAATTATCATATATAATATTTATAATTACAGATATTATTAGAATTATCATTCATTTTATTGGATAAGAAATTTAAATACATTTACTAATAAGTTAAATGTATCTGTAGAATTGTGAGCGAATAAGTAATGATTAACAAATCTTATAATTAATTGCCGTGGTGAGATTTTGAATTACTAAATATGATATAACGATTTTTTAACCGCCAGTACTTAGTTATAATGAAATTCATATAAATAGAAGTATTTTATATTCCTCTTCAGAAGCACAACTTGAAATTCTCTCTAACGGTAAGTGTATTTTATTAACGTATTTTATTTTAAATGTTTTCATAATTTTCCTATTATTTTTTTAAGTTATCTTCAAAATTGTTAATTTAAAAATTATTTTAATTAGTTCGCAAACTTTGTTTATATGACTATTTTGCACTTTATACCAATTTATATTTCTTTAAAAATGTTTCTGTACAAGTGTTAATATTATTTTCTATTAGTAGATATTTCCATAACGTAATTATTATTTCAGAATCTATCAATCGGTGAATTTCAAGATGTTTAAACTAGCTTCTCTCCTGTTGTTACTGCCTGTTATATACGCCCACGTGCGTGTGGACGTGACGACCAGGGATGGCCAGGACGTGGGCGCCGTGGGCAGCTCCGTGAGAACCGTGACGGAAGCGGATATGAAGACATTTGGATTGACGGAGGAGGTGCTACGGAAATCCGTGTGGTCCTACCTCGGCGCTGTACCTGATAATGTGTTCTATAAAAGCCCGACCCTATTTGGAGATCTCTATAAGACGTTAAACTGGGAGCCAGTCAAGATGATGATGACGCCGATCAATACTTCAATACTCTCTGTAGCGATGGAACCGACCCTCGTGATGACGAAACATTTGTTCAATAATAAAACCGAAGATTTAGATATTAAGACTGATGTACATCAAACTTTTGTGAACACTGTGTCTGCGACGTGGGATAAAGAGGGAGAATTAGGTGTTGAGAAGATTCGTCACGGATTTGATTTCGATACTGCCATGGACCATAGTTATTTTTCCTTCGTTTCCAAGATGGGAGAAGATTTTGAAAGGAGTTGGCCGATGACTCTCCATACTGAAGTTCAAGTTACTTTGAAGCCGGATCAACATGTGATTGCTGAAGTTTACGCTACTAAGAGAACTGCTATTATGAGGGTAGATTTCGAGACCACTTTAACCGGGACTGTAGCTATTAACTTCGATAAGGAGTACAAGGGTCATCGTTTCTGGTCATTGGATATAAACACTCTACTTCTATCAGACGGCCTCAACCGCTCGATGCACTTCTCGGAGGTTTTGGAGTTAGTTCACTTCACGGAAGCTTCACTCGTCATTAAAGACGCTAACACTCACGAGCTTCTCTCAAAGACAGCTGTTCACTTCCATTAGAACGATCAATGTATAATAAATAATTTTGCGACGTAATTTGTATTAGTTTTATTTTATAGTTGTATTAAAACAATAAATTTATGTAGTAACACTGAAAGTATTATCTAACTATACTAATTTTGACTGCGACTTCGTCCGCGTTACTTTCAGAATTAGTAGTATATGTATAGTTGACCGGGCGAACTATTCCGCACGAGGCTGTAAATAACCAGACATTGAAGTTTATTTAATTCTTTTTCGATCAAACGGTATTAAATATCCCATGTCCTTTATAGAAAGGTTTATGTTCTAATCTATCTCTCCACCAATTTTCATCCAAATCCGTACAGCCGTTCTAGAGTTATAGTGTAACTAACACTACATTCTTTTATATATATAGATGGTTTTTCCTAAACTCTTTCTCAAATTTCATCTATTGTTACTTTGACTACATTTATTCTACTAGTAGGGTTTAATAAAAGCGTCGTCACATTTTATAAATTTATTCAATAATTTGAGCCTTATATCTAAAGACGTAAGGTGTATTGTTCAATGATCAAATAAATTAAACTGTTATGTAGTATATAACAGGTATATTATGTATCAGTGAGTATGAAGACTTATGAACATATTAAATTACTTTTACCCTTACTACAAGTTTGTAGAACACTACAGACAGATGAATAGTTTTTATCCATATATCTTCTTAGCGTTAACGTACATACGTAGAAAACTAAAAACGTCAAGTGCGTAGTATCTATACAAACTTGTAGTACGCGTAAAATCGACTTAACTGTCAGTATTCTTGTTTAGTTTCGTAGTTTCGTCGCGTTATGTATATTGGAGTATGAAATAAACTCTAAGAAACCTTACCACAAGTCTCATTAACTTAAACGCGTACTATTACGTGTGTAGTTTGTTGTAACTCTAAACTGATCGTATGTAGTGTCAGTATCGACTCATAGTAAGGTAGTTATAACAGAATGTAACTTCATTACACTAGCATCTTAACTCACTATTAAACTGACAGTATTTAGTATTTCCTTGAAGAAGTTTTTATAATTTAATCTCGACATATATTTAAATAACCCGTCATATATATTTGTAAAAACAGTTTGTTACTATAAATTTAGGTAAAATAAAATATTATTGAATATGAACAAGATAAATAACTTACTAAATAGTAAATTTCGTGAGAAATATTAGACAAATGGATCAAACATTTAATAACAGTCAATATTATTTCAAAATGTATTTTAGAGTCATGATTATATTATGTATTTTAATACTTTTATGGTAAAATTAAATTTCGATTTCACTTTCATATAATATATATTATGTATGTATGTGTGTTTGTATTGTATCATGTAACTCATAAACCAGTTTTTACATAATGAGATGTGTTTTAAATTATTTCATCATTATTATAAGTTTATCATATAAGTCCGTGCCTCTTCTTATAGTCGTCCAGGTTCAATGACCTCTTTGGGCCGGCGTCCTTTACTTTGATTGTTATCTGTTTGGAGTGAGATGATACCGGCTCTGAAACGAATAAACATACATACATATAATATATATCTTCTTTTACCTGGCAATTTCCCAGTTATAGCCAGGATCTGCCTTACATGCTGTGAATAGTTTTGGCTAATTTTTACGACCGGCCGCCTGCCTGACATCAACCCCCTTGGGAATACATTAATCAGTGATGTCTAAATACTCTTAGAAAGTACATATGACATTGGAATAATCACATTGGTACTTGTCCGTGGCAGGATCGAACCATCAATTAACTATAAATCAACAAATAAAACTAATATTTCCGTATTACTTCGCGTATTTTACTATTACTACATACTGTCGGCTTTTCAGTTACTTTGCAGCAACCGTGATCATTAAGACAAGATAATGATAGTAAAAAACACATAGTAATTCCATAATGTTAGTTACATTTAAATGTACACTCGCGAAAGTCTAAGATCTCATTGTATAAACAGATCGTGTGAAGGTGTCAATAATTAAATAATCCTACTACTATTATAATTGCGAAAGTTCGTGAGTGTGTGTGTATGTTTGTTACTTCTTCACGCTCAAACGGCTGAACTGATTTTTATAAAATTTTGTATACAGGAAGCTGACGTCCAGGAATAACACATAGGCTACTTTATATCCCGGTGTTACCGATGTATATATATTGTATATACTCACTGGGCGCGGGCAGGTCTATCTCAATATTAATGTCGAAGTCGTGTAAGGAATAAAGACTGCCGTCGGACGGGCGGGGCCGGGGGGCGGCTGGACGCTACAAAGATAATACATACATATAGAAACATTCATGTGAGGTTGCGTTAAATGTATAACGCTACTATAGAGCGAGAAGGTTGCGTTAAACGTTCAACGCTACTATAGGGGAAGGATAGAAAGAGACGGAACGAAAATAAACAAACTATATGGGTTAACTATTAATCAATTTCTACTTGTACCTAATTTCATTTCCACATTATTTAATTAAATTTCACATCAAAGGACTACAAACACTATTTTTTTTTATTCTCTCTTCAATTTCTGAATAAATCGATTTTGATGAAACTCTGACGGATAAGTGACACAGGGACTGACTTGGACTAATGTTATTTATTTAATTACATTATGCAAATTTTGAAGCTTATAGTTTAAATATTATAAAAATATATCGTACAGACAGACTAGTATAATTCTTTACTATATTATATAGTATATGTATACGAAATGAAAATACACTATAATATATAGGATATTACTTGATATATCTATAAAATATTCGTAATATCAAGTAATTCGTTGGACTGAGGTTTATATTGAGGTAAGAGGTCTAAAATTCGTTATAAATAGATTATTCAAAAAGAACGTTCGCAATGTAGAGGTATATTTTATATTGAATCGTATTGACAATTCAAGGGGATTACAAAAAGTTCGTTATATTGAGTTGCGTTATATTAAGGTTGCACTATATATATCTCTCACATTCATTATTTCTTGTTCTTTTTCCTTCTCTATCCTGTCTTCTTCGTCTTTCTGTTTCTGTTGCTCAGCTGCTTCTTGTTCATTCTTTAATAATTCCTGAAATTATAACATATTTATTATACACATACATATGTAATTTATTATGTTTTAATGGCATTCTTATATATTATTTAACAGTACTAGCTGTCCCGGCAAACGTTTTTCCATATAAAAATAGGGCTTGTTGATAAAAAATGTAAAAATTTTGGGTTGTATGTATTTGTTAAAGACAAAATCCAAAAATAAATTAACGCTAACAACCCTTATCACATAGGTGTATGAAAAATAGATGGTAGTTAATTCTCAGACCTACTGAACATGAATATAAAGTTTGGTGAAACTCAGTAAAGCCGTTTTGGAGAAGTACGGTAACTAACATTGTGATATACAAATTATATATATTAAACATCCTACTAATATTATAATTGCGAAAGTTTGTGAGTGTGTGTATGTTTGTTACTTCTTCACGCTCAAACGGCTGAAACGATTTTGATAAAATTTTGTATACAGGAAGCTGACGTCCAGGAATAACACATAGGCTATTTACATCCCGGAAATCGGGTAACACCGCGGGGCGCAGCTAGTATATATGTACCTGTGATCTATTTCCTCCGTGTGACTTAAAGTTCATGACGGGTTTCGTGTGTCTTCTAGTGAAAGGATCGTCCATTTTTTTACCCTTCATGGCTTTAACCTGAAACATAATTAAATTATATTCATTAATAAGTAAATAAAATTATTAGTAATAACTGACATATATATGAAATAACACAACTCTTATTTTACTCATAAGTACAGTTTAACTGAGTGTTAATAAAGATATTAAAATACATAGATAGTTGCATATTTGAAATCAGTTATAATATAAATATATCATTTATATATGAAATATTATAATTTATATGAGCCGTTCACGAAGTTTAAAGGAAGATGTGGTACTACAGACAAAAAAAATGGATGAAATGTATAGTCTTGGGTAATTTGTAATTTCATTTAGCTAGGATAAGTTTTAGTGGTCTATCAGAATGAAAAAAAAAATTATTTTCAAAATCAAAGGAGATGTAAAGTTTGGGGAATGTCTGATATGTAGTAAGATCTCTCAACAAAAAAACAAAACCAGTACTAATATTTGCAATCAATTATTTGTTCCTTGATTTATTTATATCTGTTCATTTTGAGATCTCATTGTCTATATATATCAAAAATCCATATGTTAATTTCTTTTTAAATCCTACACTACTTTCTTTTTTTAGTATGGGTGTTTGCATTTAATTATTTAGTTCAATTGATTAAGACTGCACTATCAATATGTCAAATGTCAATATGTTATTTTCTTTCTAATTTCTATACACATCTTTATATATATAATTCTTCTGTGAGTGTGTATGTCACTGAACTTCTCTCAAACGACTGGACCGATTTTGATGAAATTTTGTGTGTGTTCAAGGGGATCTGGGAATGATTTAGATTCACAATTTTGTCCGCTGGACAATGTTTTTTTAATTAATTTTTAATTTATTAGTAGTTGTTGATACAAACGTTTTTTGACATTAGATTTGACAACTAACTAATATGTCAATCATTCTGTCGCACTTCAAAACACGGAGATTTATGACTTTAATAGGTAAACTCCAAAAATATAAATAAAAAAATGTAACAGATATTTCTTGATCATAGGGCGATACGAAGTTCGCCGGGTCTTCTAGTATATGTATATACTTACATTGTTTGTTTCACTAAGACTTAATCAATATATTCTCTCTCTCTATATATATATGTCTGTCTCACCTCCTCCATGATGGCCCTCTCAGCCGTCTCCACGTTCAGTTTCCGGTTCCTGTTGTTAATGTAACTAATACTCTGTATGGAACTGGTTCTCGTCTTATCTAGAGCGCTCGCTCGCTCTTCCAATTCTTGAAGCTTCGAGTTTAGTTCCACTACTAATTCTTCGTCACCTCTGAAAAATATACATATATATAGATAAAGAGACAAAATAGACAGAAAAAATATATAAATAGATTTTTTTTTTTAAATATAGATGGAGTTAGGCTTGACGTTTAATTTCCTTCTCTCACAAAACCTACTGATCGTTCGTTTGTGGTTATTTCCCTTTGCGTTCTGGCTACCGAAAGACTAACCGCTTCACGTATGACTTCTAGAACCCTATCGTGACGACGCGAGTATTGACCGCTGTCCAGGAGTACCTTACATCCCACCAGCAGATGCTTAGCAGTTTCAAGAGATATAGCAATATATATTACCGTATGATACACCCTGTATAATATACTTCAATTCATTTTATATGTCTAAAAATTTATTTTATTCATTTTTATATATTATTGTTTTAAACCGCGACTTCGTCTGAATTAGTTTCAGCATAAGAAAAGTGTAGAAAGGGCGGACTATATTCATCCTTAAAGACAGGAAATAAGACGATTTAGGATCCATTTTTTTTTCAATCGGATGAAAAGTATCCTATGTCCGTCTCCTTATTCTAATCTATATCTCCTCACCAATTTTCATCCACATCCGTACAGTCATTCTTGAGTTATAAATAGTGCAACTAACATGACTTTCATTTATATATATACTAGAGACTAGAGATATTATATATGTACCTCAGTTGAGCCACATCCCTCTCCTTCATAAGTTGTGTTTTCTTCATAGCGTAGTTAGTTGGGTGTGATCTGAATCTTTCCTTCTCAGCTACAATCTTCTCAATATCCTCTTCCTGTAACAAAATATATAAAATTTAAATATTTCTTAATAAAATATGTAAAAACTAACAAATAACGTAAATTATAATATATCGAATTAAAATTAATGTTAATTTTTAAATATACCAGTGTTCTGTTATAGTATAGATTTAATAGATCATTCATTTACAATGTTATTTTTATATTAGAGAATTAGATACAATACAATTTATGTTTCGAAAATATTTATGTTTTTCCATAAACAAATTCCTTTGACATAAATGTATATACATAATGAATATAATCCTACTTCTCTGTACACATATATAATCTCAACAATTTTCTATGTCTGTCTGTCTGTCTGTCTGTATGTATGTGTATATCTCCTCACCTTAAACTCATACATAAGCGCATCTTTAACCTCCAGTATCTTATTCCGCACAAACTCCATGGTCGGGGGCTTCTTATTTGCTTCTTTAATAGCTCGATGCCATTTTTGAAACTCATTCTCTGTGAACTCCTGAAAAATAACAATGAAGATATATTAATTAAATTATAATACATAAATAATATATAAAATAAAGCTGGAATATAAATAACCCGCCACACCATTCCAATGCATAGCGGGTTATTCGAAATTTCGTTACTATTATGAATACTACATTTACTTCTATTCTACATACATAACTCTTTTGACATTACTATATTTTTTTGTTTGGCATAATTTTTATATATCATTTATTACACAAGTATTTTTATTCAACTTTAAATTTAAAAAAATTATATAATGATAAGTGTTCAACTATACATCAACTATCTATTACAACAAAATACTTCATTTTGTCCGGGTAGTTTTTGAGATAACTATGAACAAACATATCTATACTAATATTATAAAGCTGAAGAGTTTGTTTGTTTGTTTGTTTGAAAGCGCTAATCTCCGAAACTACTGGTTCGAATTGAATAATTCTTTTTGTGTTGGATAGTCCAGTTATCGAGGAAGGCTGTAGGCTATATAACATCACGCTACGACCAATAGGAGCAAAGATATAGTGGTAAATGTGTAAAAAACGGGAGAATTTATTTCATCTTTGAAGCCTTCCGTTGCGTGCGCCGTGAAAACGGTTCAAGATACACAAAAAATATGTATGAAAGAATAATAGCTCTTTTAATGATCTAAAAAACAGTCCGCGACAGTATATGTCTATCTTTTAAGATTAACTCACAAAAACCGTTTTTATGGTACCTAATTGGGTTTTTGAATAATTTTTTTTTGTGATAAATGGAAAGATCATATATAAGTTTTATAGCAAAACTAATTTATTTATTTTTTCTTTGCAATAATTAAAAAGTTATTTCAAAATAAAAATTAAATTTTAAATTCAGTACCGAAGATCCGCCGACAGCTCCCGAATAAATCCGAGCGCGTGTGACGTCACAATGTTAGTTTTTGCTCATTGCAGCATACAGAGATATAATAATTAGTACAGTGTTTTGAGTTTTTATCTAGTAAATTCTGTTGGCATTGTTAAATAATCAAAAATGTTAAAACTCAAAAGTTATCGCTCTTGTTTTGTACCATTATGTACAAATACGACAAAAACAACTCCTGAAAAAATGTTTTTAAATGTTCCACAAGACGAAAAACGTCGAAAAAAATGGTTTCAAGCAGTGCTCCGAGCATATTCAAAAACAAAATCAATTTTTTTTTGTTGTGAAAATCATTTCGATGTAAGTATAATAATAATATAATCATAATAATATTGTTATTAATTATTTTATATCTAAGAGTATAAACGAATAAGTATAGTTCAGTAATTAAATTTTTACCTGGGCTCCAAATCATAACCTTTAGAATCGTAGCATTAAAAAATTTTTAATTGATAATTCAAAGCTATTAAATAGTAAATCTATATGTATGTTTGTCTAATAATTGGAATTCAATTAATAGATATTTTCATAATTTTATAACATTCTAGGTTCTGTATCAGACTACATTTAAATTTTTAAAGTATATGTTATATTGGTTTTTTATAATTTTATAATAACATTTTATTAATTCTTCTTTTATTATTCTTCTTCTTAATTTTTCATTGATAGTTAGAGTAACTGAGTAAGCTTTACTCCGAACTCAGTGTTCTGGACACACACGTCCTTTTAAAACACAAATACCATTCTTACGATTAAGTTGACCATAACCTATGGCTTTATCACCGTAACTCTCACGTGATGCTCTACAATTAATGAAATAATTATTAATTATATTTAATAGAAAATAAATACTTATTTTCATTTAGAATGGTATTTTTAACAGATTTACCTTGATGCCTTAGCACCTCGAACTTCAGCAGAATTAAACCGGACGTCATTTTAAAAAAAAATAGTTATAAATATATCAAAATCAGGAATATTATCCGATTTTGCTTTTATAAATCCTTTATCACACATAGTTAGTCGAAATAAACTTTTCAAATCGTTTTTCACTAATAAATTTGAGATATTTTTATCAAGTCAAAAATAATAGCCATAAACACTGTACTATTATGAAATTGCTTTAACATTATGACGTCACAAGTATGCCGACCAATCATGGCGCGTTTACAGTCACGTGATTTGTTTTTGAATTTTATAAATTTTTAATTGTTTATAATTAATTTAAAAAAAATGTTTTCAAGTTTTTTGCATTAAAAATCAATATAATTAATAATAAAGTTTTAAAATACATAAAAAAAAATCAATACTTTTTTTTTCAAAATCCCAATTTGGTCGAAATAATTTGTTTAAGTTGTATCAACATAATAATATAAATCTTTATTCAAATAAACAAATAAATATGTTGTTGGTTAAGAGTACTTCATTGTGAAGAAAATTGTCTTTGACATAACTTAATTTCAACAAAAAACTTTAAAGATTACAATGATGAATAACTCCGAAACAAAACCAACTCGCTCTCTACGCTGGCCGGCGCGGCGGGAGAGAGGCGGTTCTTGCGGGCAAGCCGGTGGAATGCAGCGCTAATTTGTTTATGCGATATAATTATCATCGTAATATTACTTTAGTACTTCATTGTTAATTAAAAAAAAAACATAGGTTTTATCCTGAAAACTCTACGGGAACTCGACCATTCCGAAAACCCCGCAAGAACGGGAACTATATGGGAAGAACCAAAAATCTGCCGGAAGTCACTATTCCACGTGGACGAAGTCGCGGCAAAAGCTAGTCTCTAATATATGTATATATATGTATGTAGTCAGTGATGGCCTAGTGGTTAATAGGCCCGCTTCTCATGCATGAGGGCGCGGGTTCGATCCTGGCAAGTACCAATGTAATTTTTCCGAGTCATATGTACTTTCTAAGAGTATTTAGACATCATTGATTAATGCATTCCCAGAGATGGTTGATGTCAGGCAGACGGATCGTAAAAACAATTAGCCAAAACTATTAACATGTAAGGCAGACCCTGGCTATAGCTGGGGAATTGCCAGGTAGAAGAAGAAGATATATGTATGTTCGTTACCTGATTACTAACAAACTCCAGTCTGAATACTCGATCTTGTGTTCCGTGTCTCAATTTAAATCCTTTATTAGTTCTTGTATTTCCTAAATTATATACTTTCGCTGTTTCGTATACATCTATAATTTCTGCAACCTGGAAAATATAATAATTATATAATAAAATTTGAGAAATTAACTAAATTCTATTATTATATTATAATATATATACAGGGTGACTGGTGAATTACTATCAATATTTAAGGAGAATACTCGGTACATGATTCTCATTCGAATTATGTAAAAAAAATAGGTACTTAATTTTTGATAAAATTTCCGTACCAATAAATAAAGCGTGGACACGTTCCAAGTGTTCCAAGTGTGGACGCGTGCGGCGGCGTGCTGACACAACACCACGCCGCCGCACGCGTGTGTGTGTGTGTGTGTATACCTAATCTGTAGGGTGTTCATACGATGCGTAATTAATTACATAACTTTTGGTTAACTTTACTTAGAAGTTTATTAATATTTATGTTATATTAATTTTTATTTTGTCATATATGATCGTCAAATATCACGTCCTCAAATATCGATAGTAATTCACCAGTCACCCTGTATATTGAATTGTTTTAATTGTTAAATTTTTTCGCAAATTTCTAGTCTGCATTTTTGATTATTCTCGTTTTGAATGTTTTTAATTATTATTTATTGATTTCACCTTGTATTTTCAACTAATTATGTTTGCATGCAGTGTTTGTTTTTAACTGATTTAACACAATTTATGCATGTTTTTTAATTTTATATGTAACTTTATTTAATTATTAATTTGTGTAAAAATCGCTAGCGAACCTATAAATATATATATACTTACTCTGTACACCGGATTTCCGTTATTATTCCCAATTCCGATACGTACGAAACATCCGGAAACGACGCGAGAAAAGAAAGGTAAATGTACTAGACGCTCTAACTTGAACCTGGAAATAAAGATTATATAGATAAGTGACTCAGGTCGACTACAGGCTTATATTATAAATGCGAAAGTAACTCTGTCTGTGTCTGTTACACTTTCACGCCTAAGCCACTGAACTGATTTTAATGAAATTTTGTACAGACATAGAGTTGACCTTGAGAAAGAACAGGATAGTTTTTATCTCAGACTTTTGAAAGGTTCTCTTGGAAACGCGATATAAGAGAACTCCACGCGGGCGAAGCTGCGGACGGAAATGGTGTATGTTTTGTTAGTTGCCCTTATATAAATAAATAAATAAATAAACAATAGTAAATTACAATCACACAGAGTGGTACTGTACTTAATATTGTTCAAACACTCATTATATCAATTCTTTCCATACCCACCTACTAAGTCTCAGTTTATTAATCTGTTCCCTCGTGTCAGCGTACTTCACTTCAACTTCTTCCCTTTCCCTCTTTTTATCTTCTTCCTCGTTATCTGAAGTTGACGAACTTGATGAACTTCTTTTTCCTGGAAATATATGAGAAGTTTATTTCCAAAAAGAACAAAGTTCGCTTACAAAGGAAATTTTTAAAACTATAACTACAATTAAAATTACAAATAATAAACAGTAGTGATATTAAACAAGATCAGTAAAATCTTCTAACATATGGGTTCTTAATCGTTTTTTAAATATATTTAGAGATTTTGAATTGACAACACTTAGAGGCAAAGAGTTATACAGGAAATATATAATATTATATTAAACTCATATATGTATTGTTATGTATCAATACTGAATTGTGGAATCTAATATAATAAACTTATCTACCTACATTACGCTTGACATAACTAATATACATATATGCATATACAGGGTGACTGGTGAATTACTATCGATATTTGAGGACGTGATATTTGACGATCATATATGACAAAATAAAAATTAATATAACATAAATATTAATAAACTTCTAAGTAAAGTTAACCAAAAGTTATGTAATTAATTACGCATCGTGTGAACACCCTACAGATTAGGTATACACACACACGCACACAAACGCGCGCGGCGGCGTAGTGTTGTATCAGCACGCCGCCGCACGCGTCCACACTTGGAACACTTGGAAGGCGTCCTCACTTTATCTATTTATACGGAAATTGTGTCTAAAATTAAGTGCCTATTTTTTTACATAATTCGAATGAGAATCATGTACCGAGTATTCTCCTTAAATATTGATAGTAATTCACCAGTCATCCTGTATATCCTACTAATATTATAATTGCGAAAGTTTGTGAGTGTGTGTGTATGTTTATTACTTCTTCACGGTCAAACGGCTGAAACGATTTTGATAAAATTTTGTATACATGAAGCTGAAGTCCAGGAATAACACATAGGCTACTTTACATCCCGGAAATCCGCGGGGCGCAGCTAGTATATATATATGTCTCATGTATACTAACCCTGTGACTTATCTTCCGAGTCAGACCCTGAGTCATCAGAATATATATCCGAAGCCTTCAGTTTCACACTCTGTTTGCTCGTGCCACCTATTATTTCCGGATCCGCTTCCTGTGAATTAAAATATACAAAGTACATAAGATATACTAATTATATAATATATAAAATTGATTTATATTATGGTAATGAGATTTCTGTATGGGTTATGTCGAGTGTGTCACATCTGTGTCGAATGGGTGCCGGTTGTGTGTCGAGAGTGTGTTACATCTGTGTCAAATGGGTGCCGAGAGTGTGTTAGATCCGTGCCGGATGTATGTTCATGTGTATTTGTCTGTCTGTCTGTCTCTCTCTGTCTGTCTGTTTCTCTGTCTGTATGTGTCTGTCTGTCTGTCTGTATCCCTCACATCGTCCTCGTCCTTCCTCTCCAAGGCCCTCTTCTTCTGTTTCGTCTCCACGTTCCTCTGTCTCGCGTCTCTCTGTGCTCGTAGCGCGGCCATAGCGTTCACTCTCCTGTCATCTACGTTCCTCTTCCTCTCAGTCTTAGCACCGAACAGCGGGGATGCTGATCGGTCTTGATCTCTCTCTGGAAACAGAGATAGAAATAGAGTCATCATCATCAGCCTATCAGAGCCCACTGCTGTAAGGCCTCTTTCTCACACGGAGAAGGTTTGAGCATTAATCACCACGCTTGTAAAACGGATTGGTGATTACAAACTTATAATATGAAATTATAAGTCCAGGTTTCCTCACGATGTTTTCCTTCACCGTATGTCAGCGATGTCTAAATACTCTTAGAAAGTACATATGATTCCGAAAAATCACATTGGTACTTGCCAGGTTTGAACCTGCGCCATCGGCAACGAGAGGCGGGCTTTTTAACCACTAGACTATGACCATAAATAGAGTAGTTCATCCAAATAGATGTTTTATTAAAAATCTTTCAAGGTTGTCATCATCATCCTATCAGAGCCCACTGCTGAGCAAAGGCCTCTTCTCACATGGAAGTCATGGTCATAAGTAACATACTAATTTAATCCAAACTACTATTATAAATGCGAAAGTAACTCTGTCTGTCTGTTACGCTTTCACGTCTAAACCGCTGAACTGACTTGAATGAAATTTGCTACAGACATAGAGTTGACCTTGAGAAAGAACGTAGGATAATATTTATCCCAGACTTTTGAAAGGATCTCTTGGAGACGCGATATAACCGAACTCCATCCGTCGAAGCAACGGGCGGAAAACTAGTGATTTATAATTCAATAAAAACTATAAGGTACTATGTATGTAGGATTTATCTCTATATCTAATTCCTTATATAAATCATGAGTGTATCCATATCATAATCATATCATTAACATATCATATACCTGTATCTTTATTATCATCCGTAACCTCTCCGGGACTGGGCGGAGGTTTTTCCCTCTCTTTCTCGTCTTCACGTTCCTCTTTCCTCTTTTCTTCTACAACAGCCTCTGAAAATATATATATAATTAATATTACTTATTTGTTATATTTATCTTTATATATATATAAAAAAATCGTGTCATATGTTTGTCCGCGATGGACTCCTAAACTACTAAACCGATTTAAAATTTGATTTGCATTCCGTGTGCATTTTGATCCAACTTGAAAGATAGGATAGCTTACATCTCAATTTATAGTCACAATACTATTTTATAGCATATTATTTGTCTATTAAAGAAAATTATCTTTTGTTAAGTATTCAATAGATGGCCCTATGTTAAAAATACAAACGTCATATATGAGCGACTAGTTAATAATAGCATAACCACCACGTGTTTCTCAGGCTAAGGTATAATCTAAATTTATTAAAAAAAACGTAACAGATATTTCTTGATTATAGGGCGATACGGAGTTCGCCGGGTCTTCTAGTCTTTATATAATTCTTCTGTGAGTGTGTATGTTACTGAAGTTCTCTCAAACGACTGGACCGATTTCGACGAAATTTTTTGTGTGTTTTCAAGGAGATCTGGGAATGGTTTAGATTCACAATTTTGTCCGCTGGACAATGTTTTTTTTAATTAATTTTTAATTTATTAGTAGTTGTTGATGCAAACGTTTTTTTTTACATTAGATTTGACAACTAACTAATATGTCAATCATCCTGTCGCACTTCAAAACACGGAGATTTATGGCTTTAATAGGTAAACTCCAAAAATATAAATAAAAAAACGTAACAGATATTTCTTGATTATAGGGCGATACGAAGTTCGCCGGGTCTTCTAGTATGTTACATGATTCCCTTTATAGATACAACACTAGTATTCCTCCTTCCTCCTCTACTTACCTCGTTCCCCCCTCCTCTCCTTCCTCTCCCTCCTCCTCCTCCGCGCCTCCCTCCTCCTCTGTATCTCAGTTGGAGACACATCCCTCTCGGCCGCTGAACGTCTAGCTAGACGCAGCTTACGTTCGATCTCCCATCTGTATTATATTCAATATTAATAAACATATAATAATAAATAACTTTAAAGACACATATTGATACTGAATTAGGGGGTGTTCATAAATTGCGTGGTGTTTTTTGAAATTTATGACCTTGGTGAGATATCGTGGGATTTTTATTCATTCCCCAATCTCACGTGAGATTAAATCCTATATGTACAATCTGGATTAAATGGACCAAATATGGTTTATTTTTTTGTTTTTTCAGAAAAAAATTACGTGATATTTGGCAAAATCCCCTCTCCCTCCAACGTAAGATTAGATGAATTTTGATTGGACCTCCTTTAAATATCTCACGTATTTAATGAACGCCTTACTACTACAGCATCTGAATGAAAATAGGTTTAATGAATTAATTATAAGAATTCATTTCTATAATTTTCTTATGAATCTGTTTAGCTTTACTATATGTACGATGACAGTAGTAAATTCATACATATTACACACACACATATATATTGATATGTATCGTCTGGTATAGTGCAAATCCGCGTAACTAACATTGTATAATTCCATATCTACATTGGAAGCAGATTATCAGCAGAAAGTTTGAACTGAATTTTTAATATATTTTCTATATTAACGACTTTTAAGGTAATTTTTTCACAATTAGTAACTATTTTGTGTTCAATTTATTTATATCTCTGTGTGTGTGTGTAATTAAGGTATTTTTTTTTTCACAATTACAAATTATTTAGTGTTTAGTTCATTTATATCTGTATATGTGTGTGTGTGTGTCTGTGTGTGTGTATCAATCTCCTATACCTGGTCTTCATAAGATCCCTCCTCTCTATCCGTTTGAATATTTCTTGTTCCCTCTCCTTCTCAGACATAGCCGCCAGACGAGCTCTGTCCGCTTCATCACCCATCAAGTTCTCATCATATCTAGAACATTATAATTTATAACTAAATATATTACATAATATTAATTAATAACTACATCTAAATATATTTCCTATATCTGTTATAACAAAAATACAAATCCGCATAACTAGCATTGAATAAAACCACGTATTTATATTAGAAGCCGATTATCAGAAGAAAGTTTAAGCTGAAAAATTTCCTATATTAACGACGTTTAAGGTAATTTTTTCTCTATTAGCAATAAATTAAAAACTGGATAATTACAGTGTGATTAAACACTTTACGTGTCCGCAAATTATCCGTTTCATTGAAGTCTGTCAAAAAATGGATCACACACCGGCGATATCTAGTTAAAATATCGATTTGTAGTACATGCTATGTATCAGAGATGGCGCTATATGTGACAAAAGATTTTCCCGCTTTTCTGCTGAATTTTTTTCGAATTATTTATTATAAACCTCACGGAGCCCGACCTTTCCAACGAATGCAAAACCGTGGGAATCGGTTCGTGAATTCTGGAGTTATAGCGTCAGGAAGGAAAACCCGTATCATTTTTTTTATATTAGATAAACTTAAAATAATACCTAAGTTCTCTTATAAACATGTACTATATTATTTGGTGTATACCAAATACATAGGTAATGAACAGATTTTGTCATATCTATTTATAATTTTATATGAATATATATTTAATATTAATAATAATCTCACCCATCATCAAATTCTTCTTCAGAGTCTATGGAATCATTGTCCGATGAGTGTGATGAAACTTCACCTGGAAAAATACATGTACACTTATGTACTAATGTATTGTAACCACAAGTGTGTATTGTTAAACTCTTATATAGTTGTCATAATCATTATCAATATAATTATTTTAATAGAAATATGTTTTTAAGGTTTTGATGTATTAAAATCAATCAAATATATATAAGAGCTGTTAGTTGAGTTGGCAAAGTGATTGAAATGTCTTAATCTAGAGATTGTAGGTACAAATCTGGCTAATTTAAGATGTATATATTAATTATGTATACTGAATGTGATATTTATAAATTTTATTCATATATTATAAACAAATAATTGGGGTGGATGTACTATACTTGAACATATAATAATGGTTTAAAAGAATAAAATGTAAATAAAATCACAAAAGAGATTAATACTTTTAAGTAATTAGGTTTGGATCATTCTATAGAAAATCTCTCAAACGGGTTGTGTTAAAAAAGCTTACGATTTCTTGGGAAACCAACATCCCCAAAGACCATACCATTAAGGTCAACAAATATTACGAGCTCACTAACGAACTAACTCGAAATAGGTCCGTCGTTGATTTGTACGCGGTAGAAGTGGGAGCGAGAGGTATAACAAATCTCTCTACAAGCTACTAAAAGACTTGGGCTTGTCCAGAACCAACATTAATTCATTCTTGGAACGTATTTCAAAGGCAGAACTAGTAGGTTCTTTTCAAATTTGGTAGAGAGAGGAGCTTGGATTGTGGAGGTGAGCGTTTAATGTTAGATAGGGTAAAACCCTTAAACCTACACCTGGGTCACAAGTCCCAGTCACTGTTGAAGCTCCTCTCACTACAACGATGGACCCGACACACGCATATGAATACATTGAATGATGAGAGGTTTCGTTTTAACTTACCTTCCTCAGGTTCACTATATGTGTCCTTCTTTTTGGATCCCGAGCTATCTGTACTTTTACGTATTTCATTCTGTTTGACCTCCGACCTTTTGATTTCTGGTTCTGTGTTTTTGTGTTCCTCATAATGATCCGATGAGTTTTTTCTGCTTGGATTTTCAGGTGATTTCTTTTTGGATGTATCGCTGTGGGAATCGCTGTTTGATTCAGAGTCCGATGATGATGATTTGTCTGAAATTATTGTAATAATATATATATACTTTGTAGTGTAATAAGTAGTATGTAAGTCAGATGTTGTATAAATATTAAGATTGTTGCGTTGATTATTCAGTAATAAATCATCATCTACCAAATACACTCGTTTCAATACCATGTATGTATGTTGTATACTTCAAAATGGCTTGGCTTTTAGTAAGCAATCGTAATATTCTACTAATAAGTAACATTAAGATAGTAAAAGTAAGATAAGAAAAAAACTATCACAAATAAATAGCATGCTTTTTATATACTTTTATCAAATATTATGTTTTCTGTTAGCAGGTTTTGATCTATAATCATAACTTTCTTTGCTATAAGAACTTCACATATCTTAAGTTTAATAAATTTTTACCACAAGTTTGAAAAGTCAAACAAAACATCGCTTAACATAGTATAAATGAAAACTCTAAATTTTCAGTGTACACTTTAAACTAAACTCAATAGTACTCAAAGCAACAATTTTCGTATACTTAATATATACAAAAGTCACTAATTTGTATTGTTTTGTATACAAATCTTATTTCTTTACTAGCTTTCCGCCCGCAGCTTCGCCCGCGTGGAATTCGGTTATATCGAGTTTCCAAGAACACTTTTCAAAAGTTTGATATAAAAACTATCCTATGTTCTTTGTCAAGGTCAACTCTGTACCAAATTTCATTAAAATCAGTTTAGTGGTTTAGTCGTGAAAGCGTAACAAACAGACAGACAGAGTTATTTTCGCATTAATATTAGTAGGGATATATAATCACCATTTTTCTTTTCGTTGTCGTCCCACTCCGATTCACTGTCGGATGTCTTGTTGTTTATTTTCTGTGCTGCTATTTCTTCAGGTTTCTTTTTCTTCTTTGCTAAGTTTAAAAATTGCTGAAAAGAAAAAAAATATTTCATGAATTCTTTTTAATCTTAATTGTTGTCGTCATTGAGAGTGGGTGTGACGCTATGTACAGTGTATCATTGTATGTTAGACAAGCTAAAGTCTAAACCAACCAAAGTCAAATGATTTCGACGCTTTAGAGAGTTTGTCATTAAATCGAGTGACGTTACATGGAGTTTACACTGTATATGGCTTGAAACTTGTTAAGAAAAAATATATTATATATTATTGTAGTATTCAATAAATCTGTATCAAATTTGTCATAATGTATTGTGGTAAGTATCAACACTGAATGACAGTAACTAATATAATAAAGTGATCTACATACATTACACTTGACATTATGTTATTATAACTATACCGAGCATGTATAACTAATATATAAGAGATATAAACATAACATTTATTTATGAAAACATAAGTATATTTGAGTAATCATTTTAGGAATAGATGATGGTAGTCAAATCATTTTTATATAACTTACAAAGATCATTAGTTTTTTATTTCGATTGGATAGTGCTTGACAATCATACCACGCATTGGAAGGTGGAAATGAAGTAATAGGTAGTGAACACACTATCTCAGTATTAGCAAATTTATAATATTTTGAAGACACTTTAATCATAACTTAAAGAAAACATATGCAGTAGAACTGTGCAAATAACTAGCCTTTTTTATTTTATTGATATATACATATATGGTTTTAATATAAAAATACTTGTAACTAAATATGACCATTACTTGCATTTCATTATAAAGTAAATGATGATGCTTTAACAAATATAAGTTCTCATTTTTGTAAAATTTTAAGATCAATATGGAGTATGTTGATGTAGCTAAATAATGTGTGAAATATTATAATAAAAAAAAATAACAAATAATATATATTTTTTTACTTTTACAACGTAGTTTTCAATATTATGTAAGTTTATGAACAAAACTGGCTTTCAAATCGATTTGCACGGTAGTAAAGCAGTTTAATCACATGAGTTTTTGGTTATTTACTAACGATGTTTTGAATGAACATATTCCACTAACAGTAAGTAAGTAACTTAGATGAAAGATGCGTTTACAATATTTTCATGAGTCATGCCCGTAAATGCCTTTCGAACTGCGGTATGCGACTGAATTGACGAAAATTTCGAGTGTGTTTATTAGCTTTAAGCAATTCTATTTACTACCCAATAATTTTGTGTTTGAAGATCATCTATGGTAATGCGCATTGGACGTAATGAGATCCTTCAGACATTGATCTTGGCCCAAATACGCAAGATATAAGAGGAATGTCGTATGAAATTTTAGGACGAAAATCTAACCTAGGCAATCATAAACTTACCGAATCTAGATCTGAACAGTCGCTGCTTGAATCTGAATCGATTAAGGGCTTATTTTTCCTTTTAGCCATTATGATAAACTTTTCACAGCAAAATACGTTATGAGATTTTTTCTTTATGTTACTAAGCCGTCCGTCAACTACACAAGCAAAACGACACCAGTGTTGCCAAGTTTTCGATTCTCTAGTAAAAATATTATAGATCTAGAGCTTCTTTTGCCACTTCTAGACATTTACTAATGAATTAAACATATCTAAAAACACTGCATTACCTCATTTTAATTTTTAAAATGATCAGTAGGTGAAAATGTCGTTAAATTTGTAATTTATTTATTTATTGAAATAAATATTTATGCCATTTTTGAATGAATCGCTTACCATTCATAACGTCAAATACTATTACTACTGTCAATATTCAATAACGCTATCGTACATGAAGATAATTGCTTTGTATATATATCAATTTATATTTACCTTCTCGTGAATTCTACGTCACGTTGATTTTTTCTTGTTATTCATTTTTGACAAATACCTTACTTGTTTTTGATTGTGTATTACTTGTTTATACTAAATATTGACGAAGCAACAGTAAAGAAAACATCGTAACGGAGACCCCGTTACATTTGCTCTCAAAACTCTATTATGCCTCATGATTTGAAAGGTTTGGGTGTAAGGAAAGCAATTATGGTTAGTAAAACAATATTTTAATAACAGTTTACCGATATTTAGATATTTCAATCAATTAGAATGTTCTCGTTCTTTTTTACGTTCGATGTTCTTTATGTTGCTCTAAACATATAATTTCAGTAAAACTAACATTATTACCACCATTAAACGTAAAATTGTATGTTAAATAGGGTATAGAACTGTATTTCTATTATCTAAATATTAAGATTATCTAATTATATGTAATAATTCTTCAAGGCTCCCTTGTCGCCGACTCCATGTGCTGAAATTAGTGATGATGAACTGGTTTCCATCTCAGTTAGAGACTTGAATCGTCAGCTCAAGCTGAGAGGATTGACGAGAGATCAGATTGTGAGGTATAACTCAAATATATTAATAATATATGAATATTATAGATTTTAGTGAGAATATAGACTATAGAAGTTAAATTATAATAAAATAACTATCTTTTACTAAATGCCTATCTATTTGTAGTTGTACATATAATACATATGTACTTATTTTTAATTTTTTTTGTATATCCGTTTTCATCAATGCTTGTTCCAATTAATTTCTGAAGTGACTGAGTTTGGATAATAAATATGTATTAACAATATTAATGGCTTGTTTATCTAGAAAATTCTTTGTAGTTAAAAAATATCTAATTAAAACTAATATAAGATTCAAAATTGATAACAATATTATAATATCCTTCTCCTTCTACCTGGCAGTTTCCCAGCTTTAGCCAGGGTCTGCCTAACAATATTATAATATGTTTGTAATTATTTATTTATATACAGAAATATTTATCAATTATATAATTAAGTTCAATCAGAACATAACGAGTAAGTGCTTAATAGATACATATAGTTTAGAAAAATCTTACTTTAAACTCAAATATATGTACTTTACCTTTAATATATAATTTATTATTTGTACAGAATGAAGCAGCGTCGTCGTACACTCAAGAATCGTGGCTACGCTGCCTCGTGTCGGATCAAACGAATAGAACAGAAAGATGAATTGGAAACGGAGAAAAGTCAGGTATATAACACTATATACAATTGTACACACACACAGAAATAGATACACTCACACATACATATACATATATATATAAAAAGGTTGCATATTAAAACCTTATTTGATATATATTTTTTCTACTGGCAACTTTCTTCTACTTCTATTATATGGAGTTAAAATTGTCCTTATTTATCTGAGTTATTGAAATAATAAGTTAAACTGTAATATATCTTCCTGGCAACCTCCCAGCTTTAGCCGGGGTCTGCCGAGTTAAACTATAATATATGTATATATTCTTTGTTTAAGGAATGGCATGACATGGAATCGATGCAGGAAGAAAATACAAGGATAAGAGAAGAAATTGAGGCTCTTAGAAGTAAATATGATGCTTTAAAGAGATTTGCACACATGAAGAATATACCACTGCCTTCGGAACTGGAAATGTGGCCGTAAAAGTTAATGAAGTATGATGATATGTAATAATAAATGTTTTATATACTTTCAAAGATATTTGAAATGTATTAATTTTTTTAGCAATAATTTTAAGTACAAAAGTAATGTATTAAATATTAATTTATATATTATGGTGTTTCTTTCTTTATAATTATATTTCCTTTATTTTGTAACTTTGAGTTTATTGTTAATGAAAAAGGTTACAGTTCAGTAATATGTATATATTTATATATATGTTTTTGTACATGTTATATAATATAATTATTTAATTTTTATCATACTTATATCTTTGGGATACTTTCCACTTATAAAAACTGAAGCAGCATTAAAAGTAAATTGATAACATTTATTAGTTTATAAACAATAGCTAGAGTAATCTAATTAATTTTATTTTGAAAATATTAGTAAATTTTTTTGTGACTTGCTCAAGCTTCGCCTTTCTAAAAAAATTGTTTTTACAATAACGTCTACAATTATTATTATTCTGTGGTCAGGGATTTTTAAAATAATTTGAACATAATGAATTGATGAGAAAATCCTGCGATGACTACCTATAATTAACACGATATCAGTTTCCAAGTTTTTACTGGTGTCATATAAGTTTTATTAAAAAAAATTGTCAAGTTTAGTTTCAGTAATTCATAATTTAATTATTTTCTTTCTATGTGTTCATTATTAAAAACAATATTGGTAAATTAAAATGATTTGTTAGTTTGAAAATTATATAAACGCTCCGAATCAGAAATACTAAAATAAATATCTTGAAAATAATTTGACGTTTAAATAAGTCCAAATATTTTTAAATAAGTAGGTACATAAAACGTTTAGGAACTGATTTCGAAAGTAATAACTATAAAGTTAATTTTGATAGAACGACATTAAATATTTAAAAATAAAAGAATGCACTGTAGTGTAATTGTTATCCTTTTATTTTCGCTGGACGTGATAAAGTATGTATACCTACTTCAATAATGACAAAAACGGTTACGCTCTCAATAGCTTAAAAATTTACTTTTATTTAGTTAAATTAAAATAGTTGTTTAAAAATCTCACACTTTGTTATTAAGACTTTAAAGACGTAGCTAAAAAAGTAAAATGTTCTTGTATTTGATTTTATATTTAACAAGATATTAAAAACAGACTACCTTTTTATTTATGTACTACACCGTAATGTAATTAAAGATTATGATTCTTTTTATTATTGACTAGCTGACCCGGCAGACTTCGTACTGCCTCAATCAAGAAATAAATTATGTCTTATTTATTTTTTTGGAGTTTACCTTTAAGCCATAAATCTCCGTGTTCTAAAGTGCGACAGAATGATTGACATATTAGTTAGTTGTCAAATCTAATGTCAAAAAACCCGTATGTATGGGAAATAGAAAAGCGCTGTTTTTAGGGTTTTCCCGGAAATTATTTTTTTTTTTCAGCTTTTATACCTTCCCTGAACCTCCACGAACATTTCAAGACTAAGTTAAGATAAATCCGTTCAGCTGTTCTCAAGTTTTATCGAGACTAAGGAACAGCAATCCATTTTTATATATGTAGATTTTATATCAAATTAGTAGTTTTTAAATTTTATTACGTAAGAAAATTGTTACTAACACTGCAAAAATTGCTATAGAAATTGCATCACATTTTGGTTGTATCAGTTGCCAACGTCCATACCACGTTGAATACACCGGTTCTCGTCCGATCACCGAAGTTAAGCAACGTCGGGCGCGGTCAGTACTTGGATGGGTGACCGCCTGGGAACACCGCGTGATTGTTGGCTTTTTGTTGTTACATACTTCCCACGAGTAGTTTTTATTTATTTTTTATAATTATATAACTGGTAGATTTACGAGACACTATAGTTTCTTTTATTGCAATGTATGTTGTGGATTCATTTATAACATAATTATATTATACGGGAATGAGATATCGATTTGTGTGCTCAAGTGAAGGATTTTTATTTCTGTTGAAAAACAGGGGTTACATATTTATTATGAGAATTTGAATAGAGATGTATTTTTTTAAAGATCCTTCTTTGTGTACTCGTTTCACTTTGTTTAGGCTGTCTATGTCTGCTCCCTTGTATGTTTGATCATAGACTACAAATGTCTACATTCAGAGTCTTGTATCAAAGCTCCTACTCATCATGCTTTTTGGAGTAATGCAACTGAGATTCGTATGTTCAAATTCAAAAGTCAGATTTGTCTCTCTTTACCAGATTTCATTGAACTTACTGTGTTATAGAGCTAAGGTTCTTCTTACTTTTGCGATTTCATACCAGAAGATTTTGATATGAAAAAAGATATACTTATTTTATATCATTGGATACCTTTAAATTATTTGAATTCATTATAAAGATACTCTCAGAGGATAAAGGATAATTTTAATGTTTTTAACACTTCTAAGATGTTTGTCTTTAAAAACTTGACGTAGTTATGAGTCAGTAAGAGTTCAGATAGTTAAATAATGAGTTGTCATTAAAACTTAATGAAAATGGATGTCGGCTAAATAGTTTGATCATATTGGTTTTAGAATTCAATTATTATATTTGTTCTTACACACGACCTGCCGATTACAATTAATGAACAACTCTAGAACATTGTAGAAGCACAAATATATAATATAATGTTATGTGTTATTGTATATAATATGTTATATTTCGTATTTGAAAGGACATGTAGTTGTTATTGTAAAATAAAGATTGTTCATGTAACTAACTTGTGGACAGTTTTTAGTCTCTGTTTAACTTGACACAATTTTTTTATTGTATGGTGTATTAATAAAAATTCAATATGGTATACAATTAAACATATTTTCATTTACTTACACACGTAATTGGTATAATCTCAAAGTTTTTTCCTCCTTTAAATTTTGGAGATTTATTCTGTCTAAAGTTAGAAAGCTGCAAGGAAACTAGTTGTCCATGAAAATTTCCTTAAAACTGATCGCTGGAACAGTTTCTTAGTCTATACAAAGCACGGCTCCAGTTGTGTATGAAATGCTGTTATCACCTCACTGCTTTGGATGGTTAGGTACCTATTGGTTAAAACCAGTCCATCAAGCGTTGAGTACAGGCGTAAAATAACCCAACTCTCCTGAAGTATGCCCAAGAACTTCACACTTCAATTCCTCATTCCATTTCTACTATCAGACGCACCACTCAACCTAATTCACGATGGGTTTCTTTCTGTGTAGACCTTCCACGCATCAGAACAAGTGATAGACAGAAGCTGTTCCTTCTGAATAACAAAGGATTGGAACAGATTCGCCAGCGTCTGTGTTTCTTTCTTATAGTAATTTGTGTATCTCAAACGACTAACGTGAGTCGTGCGTCCACCAAGGGTTTTATTTCTACCTAGCAACATGTGGAATACATTAAAAGAGAAACGAAACCTCTCATCATTCAATCTATTCACGGTGCGTGTGTCGGGTCCATCGTTGTAGTGAGAGGAGCTTCAACAGTGCCTGGGACTTGTTACCCAGGTGTAGGGCCCCTTACCTAACGCGCGTTATACGCTCACCTCCACTGTCCAAGCTCCTCTCCCTACCCAACCAAATTTGAAAAGAACCTACTAGGGCTGCCTTCGACGTACGTTCCAAGAATGTATTAATGTGAGTTCTGGACAGGCCCAAGTCTTTTAGTAGGTTATAGAGAGAGATTTAGCTGTAATATCTGGACGATGTATGACGTATGTATTTGGTTGTTTTGTATGTATGTATGTACAGGGTCTGCCTGCCATGTATTGATAATAACTTGTAATAATTGACAAACGTTTTATATTTCACGGTTGTCTATGTTCCGTGTTGTATAAACAGAGTTGTGGTCGAAATGTAATTAAGAGCTCAATAACAAAGCGTTCATTTTAATGTGTTTTGTGTTTAATGTATCAGCTTACATTGAGTGTGACGCAATTTGATAGTTATTACTTTACAGAGAATTCATTACAAATATACTATAGATATCGGCGTATTAATTTAAGTATTAAAACTGGCAAGTACCGATGTGATTTTCCGTGTCATATGTACTTTCTAAGAGTATTTAGACACCACTGACAGATGAAGGAAAACATCGTGAGGAAACATGGACTTATAATATTCAATAATAAGTTTGAAATCACCAACCCGTCTTACAAGCGTGGTGATTAATGCTCAAACCTTCTCCATGTGAGAAGAGGCCTCTCAGCAGGCTCTGATAGGCTGATGATGATTAAACGTCTCCAGGTACAGACCTGTACTCCTTATGGAGAGTCTTTAACCCGTTGATTTATAAAAACAGCTCATTACTCATTAATAGATATAAAACATATTCTATAAGTAATAATGAACTACTTACTACACCTCCATCATTCATAGGAAGTACTCAGTAGAAGAGATGAGTCTTTTAGTTGAAATGTTGTCAAATAAGACGTTCAACTTAAGTTTATTGTTTGAAGTTGTTTTATATGAATTATAATAAATGTTATTTACTCTTTATATCTTAGAATATATCATTAATGTATCTTCTAACGTCAAATGTATTGTTAATATATGTAGTAGCCTACAAATATCATTAAGTATAATATAGTTGCACGTAACTGTACTCGTGTTACTATAATACAGATAGTTTGTTCGTCTCTACTTCCTATATCCTCGTGAGTTACCTTTATGTGTGTATTTGAATGAATATAAATGTCACTCAGATTAAGGATAGTAATAATAATAAAGCTTTATTTATTCCATGCATAATAATAAACTATAATAATATTTATAACATTCGATTGTAATTTAATACCAGATTAAGGATACAAGTGTGAAATAAGCAAAACAAATACAATTCTATTGTTAGTTAGTTAAGTCAATAATAATAATTAATACCTAAATGTAATCTGTCTTTTGATAATATTTTATGTTGAATAAAAGACTAAAGTCGAGGAATTTAACTTACCTACATTTATTGAGAGACAAAACAATGTGATTTGATAGTACAACTTAAAAATGCACAACAAATGATACTTACCTCTTTTGTA